TTTTTTTTTTGAGACAAGGCTTCCCTGTGTGTAGCTTTGAGTGTCCTGGAACTCAGTCTGTAGATGAGGCTGGCCTCAGAATCACAGAGATCCACCTGCCTCTGCCTCCCAAGAAATGATGGCCATTTCTTTAATCCTCTGCCTGGGATTAAAGAAATGGCCATCACACTTGGCTAAAAAGTATTTTCAATTAAGAAAGAAATTCTCACTGTTTTTGCAGAGGACCTGAGTTAAATTCCCAGCATTTACATCAGCAACCACCATAACTCCAGCTTCAGAGGGATCTGCCGCCTCTGGCTGCCACAGTTACCTGTATTCACATGCATGTACACACAGGCACACACGCGCACACACACACATGCACACTCACACGCGCGCGCACACAAACACACATACATGCACACTAACACACACGCGCGCGCACACACACACACACTATAAACTAGAGATGGCTCTGCAGTTAAACGTATGTACAGATCCAGGCTTGATTTCTAGCTCCCATGTCTGCTGGCTCACAGCCTCCTGCAACTCCAGCTCCAGGGGAACCTGATGCTTTCTTCTGGATTCCTCCAGCCCCTATACACAAAAACAGACACACACACACACACACACACACACACACACACACACAATTTTAAGGATAAAACAAAAATTTTTAGACATATGGCTAGTTCAAAGTCCAAAAAACTGTACACATTTTTGGTTGTTGTTTTATTTTATTTTATTTTATTTTATTTTATTTTATTTTATTTTATTTTATTTTATTTTATTTTATTTTATTTTATTTTATTTTATTTTATTTTATTTGTTGTTGTTTCAAGACAGTGTTTCTCTGTGTAGCCTTGGTTGTAGACCAGGCTGTCCTCAAACTCACAAAGAATCGCCTGCCTCTGCCTCCCTGAGCGCTGGGAACTGCACCCGGCTCTATGTACATTTCTTAGAAACACCTGGAAGGAAGGTACTGTGAGTGAAAAGCCCCAGTTGTTAGGCTTAGTCCCTGTCTGCAGCAACACACAGGAGAGGGAGAGAGAGATTCCAGCTGAATAAAGATAACAAATGGCCTCTTTTGGCTTCTCAGAAGTATCTGCAGGTGCCGTACCAAGTGTTTGCTTACAGTGGTGTTGACTGACCTGAAGAACAAATAGATGAGGCTAATAAAACTCATTCAGCCAGCATGAACCAATTCAAAACTGCTTCTCTGAGCACTGTCCACAATAGATCATTTATGGACTCAACCTCGGTATCCAACAGGAGAGAAACAGGTAAGGAAGATGTGTTCACATAAGAATGGATTTCTCAGCTATTAATAAGAGCAAAGCTGGGTCATCCACAGGAAAATGAATGCAGCAAGAGGTGATTAAATGGAGTTGAATTAAGCCAGTCTCAAACAAATATCATATGTCTTCCCTCCTTTGTGGTTCCTAGATTTTTATATAGATACACAAAATCACATACATATATGTGACCTGAAAGTGAAAATAAAACCATTTAGGGAACAAGTGGGAGGGGGAGGCAGAAAAGGGGAGCAGAGGGCGTGAGGTGGTGTCCTCAGCGTACAGTAGTATATACTTACAAAAACGTTAAAAATATATTTCTTAAACTCCGCTTGGTTTTAACTTTGTTGCTTGTTTTTGTTTGTTTTGGTCCGTAACTGAAACATACATTTTTTATTTTAACAAAAAAGTATGACAGTCAAGCCCATCATGGTGGCAACCACATACAAGCCTAGCACTTCAGAGGCAGAGTGAGACTCTGTCTAAGGAGTCCAGGAGAAAAAGAACACAGTGGAATTTCTGTTTATTGGAGAACTTTTTGGTTCATTGTTTGGCTAGTTACTGTTTGTGTGTGTAAGAGAGAAAGAGAAAGGAGAGGAAGAAACTGAACTGAATCATGTAGCCCAGACAGGCCTTGAATCCTGGATGCTCGAGCCTGCCTCGCCCAGACGCTGGGATCACAGAAATGCATCATCATGCCTAGCATTGTTAAATTCTTTATTCACTACCACATCTGAAATGCACAGCCCAGTCCCTTAAATAGAACATAACTGATTGACAGGTAACTGGACTTAGATGTTGTATGCAAAAAGTTAATTTTGATGGGGACTTCAGGGTATTTTTTTTTCCCATCTGTGTCTACAAGAGCAGAGATGCAGCTCCTGCAGCTGCTCTCATTTAAAAACTTGTGGGTTCACTTCTGTAGACAGCCCCAAGTCCCTCCAGTGTTTCCTGAAGAAGGAATGTTCTCCTTAAGGAGAGAAGCCCTCCCCTCCCCAGCCTTGCTCTGGGCTATTGAAAAGGAAACTGTTAAACACCTACTACAGCTTTGTCTTTCTGAATTCTTGACTCTCATTTGTATGCACATCTTCATTGTAGAAATGAACAAAATACTTTTTAGCATGAACATATGTAATGGAATTATGATTCAAGACTAAAAGAAAAAGTGTAAGCTTTCTGCTAT